ACTAGGGATGAAAAGCACCAATTATATCAAATAAATAAAATAGAATAAAAATAAAATAAATAAAAATGTTAAAAAGGGGAGAAAGTGTTGTTTGTCTATATATAAAAAAAAAAACTAAAAAAAAAACCTTGAAAACATGTTCTAATAATTTGTTGTTTTATATGTTCTAACCACTGACCTATTAGATCCATTATAGATAAGTGGTTCTAACACGTAATAATTTAAGCAACATTTAATTAATTTAACTTTTTTGCTGTAATAGTTATAAGCCTGTGCATAAGACGCAACGTAAATGTAACAAAATCAGTTTAACACATGTTGTGGACGGCCACATTTCAGAGCAGGAGCGACTTCCGCTGCCCGATATCATTTCCGGGGCGTCGCTGCGTCACTTCCTTCTCTTCTCCAGGACTGTCTTCGGTAGAGACAGGCCGAACGGTGAGCGGAACAAAATCTCAATTCATCCTTTTACATTGTGATTAAAATGAGCGTTTCGCAGTCCGCGACGCTGCTGCAGCGTCCACTGTATTTACATGCGCTTACATTGTGGCTCGTGGGGAGATGGAACAAGCGATATTTATATGAAATAACACACAGGGTCTGTACATGGCGGCCGTCGGTATGATGCATGTGAAACACCGCAGTCACAAAATATAATACACTGTTCTGCTCGCTGTAACATCACAACAGAGGCCTTTTATCCTAATAACGAGATGTTTAAGACGCTCAGTATAGCATGCTGTGTTTAACGTTACATGTGTTTTGCATGGTGCGCCATGTAGTGTATAAACTAGATTTTCTGCGCCAAGCTTATATTTTATTGCATGCTGTAATTTATTCGCTCTTGTTGACATAATGGATATTAGACAAGAGTTTACAGCTAGCTAACGTACATGCTACATGTCAAAGTAGATTGATTTAGTCAAAGATGCGAGTCATTGTTCATCTAGAATGATTTTAATGCAGATATTTGTATTGTATTCCTGTGTTTTTGAAGTCCGTGTCTCATTCATTTCTGCATGTTGACTCTGTAGGCATCATGGTTCTCCTCAGACCCCTCACCAAACCTAAAATCCTCAAGAAAAGGACCAAGAGGTTCGTCAGACATCAGTCCGACCGCTATGTCAAGATCAAGGTGGGAAGCCTGGAATATCACGGAACTTGTTGAAGTCGTGGTTTCTAGGCTTAGAAAAGTAGCAGAAATAAGAATCACAGCGTTGTTATGCAGTGAAGACTTTTCTAGTCAGTGTTGTCATGAAATGAAAACCCACCCTGTGTATTTTTATGCACTTGTTATCGGAATACGTTTTTATTATTAGGCGAACATATTCTTTTCATAAGTCCTTCATCCTTGAAAGTATGGATGGGCGATACCTCTTATTTTATTTTCGATCCGATACCGATATTTTCAAGCCCAGTATCGCCGATATCGATACCGATACCTCTAAACTAAACTGATCTTTTAAATTATTAAAAGAATATAATCAGTCTCAAAGGTGCAACTATACCCCTAAAAGGGAGCATATTAGTAACAAGTATGCATGCTTTAAGGGTAGATAAGTTACAAAGGTGCACCTTTGAGGATAGCCTACCTCATGAAAAATAAACATGGTGTTACATAAGTACTAAATATTATTATTATTATTACCATGGTAAATTTGTGGTTACTGCAGTTTTAGTACAAATACTGTGGTGAACTGTGGTTACTGTAATAAAACCATGATTAATTTTTGAAAAAGGCTGCCAGGCTGTTGTACCCCTAAAGCTGAAACTTTAGCATATTTTTTTCTGACAGATTTATTACAGAACATAACACAATCCATTTGAACTTTTAACAACCAGTTTAAATAAATTTACTTGCACAAATTTAAAATAAATATTACAAC